CTCCCTCCTCTCTCCCCCGCCCCGTGTGTGTGTGTGTGTGTGTGTGTGTGTGTGTGTGTGTGTGTTTGGCAGGGTCTTGCTATGTAACTCTATGTAGACTGGGTTTAAACTTGCTTGTATAGCCCATGCTGGCCTCAAAACTCACAGAGATCTTCCTGCCTCAGCTTCCTGAGCGTTGAGGTTACAGGTGCGTATCACCACACCTGGCTCTCTCTCCTCTTAACTCTCACACATCTTTTGCTTCTCTCATGACCTGGCTGTCACTTTACACTCACTAAAAATAGAAAGGACAATGGATGCCTCTCCATGGGCTGTGGATTCTCCCACTGTATGACACTGAGTTTTGCAAACAACCATTAGTAAATGCTTTAGAACAGATTTTTTAAAAATAAAGGATAATTTAATTTATATCATCTTTCTAATGCAAATGACAGAAACCCAAATAGGCCTAAAGAACAAAATAGGAAATGTGCTATTTGGTATAACTGAAAAATCTAGGGCCATTCCTAGCAGTTTCAGAAGGAACTAGATCCAGGGGGCTTGAATGATAAACCAGGATTCTGTGTCTGCTTTGCTGTCTGGCTTTAGTCTCATGCATGTGCTCCTCATGCTACGGCAGCTTCAAGGCAAGATCATCTCCTTACTGCTTCAAGTCCAGCAATAAAAGAAAAATTTTCTTCCCTTAATTCCAACAAAATTCTCAGAAACAAGCCTCAGTAGGCTGCCTCAGGTCACACATCCATCCTTGAACCAATTGCTGTGGTTCAGGGAATGGTGGATAAAGGTGTGTGGCATCTTTTGGAGCATAAGTCTTCTGCACTGAATGTGAGGAGGTGTCCCTTAAAGAAGAGGCAGGACAATGCTCCCAGAAAATGGAAGCTAGATGCTGAGCAGCAGGCAGATCTGAATGGAAGCTAGACTCAGGCAGGGACTATTAAGGCCCAATGTGGGTTTTCCAAGAATAAATCCTGTCTGGTGAACTAATTTCCTGTTTCGCTAGGTTATTGAACTGGGAGACCAGGGCAAATCTGGAGCCTCATGAGTCTGGAACTCTGCAGAGTTCTCCTGTTTATTGTGGTAGATGTAGCAGTGAAATGTGAGTTGAGTGATGGTATAGTCAGAGGTTTCTAGAGTAGATGAAAGAGAAATGAAATGTTTACTCTAAGTGTAACCTGCAAGGTTATCTTGGTGTGGAGCTGTTGGGCTCTGTCCTTGCTTCTGCCTTCAGCAACTTCTTAAGCAAGAACTTGGATGAAGTCTCTATGACTTTCCCAATCTCATCTGAGAATGACAGGAAGCTGAAGAAAATAGCAAGTATCCTAGCTGACAGCACCCACATCCTTAGACAGCTCCATATGGAAAAGAGGGATTAGATGGAATATGGTGGAATATAATTGGGATGAATGTAAGCCTCTGCATCTAGCTGCAGGATACCAGCAACCCAAGGGTAGATGGCAAACACTCATTTGTTGGCAGCACCAATGGCAAAGACTGAGGGTAGTTTTTCTTGAAGTGTGGTGGGTCTTCAGGCCATTGGCAGCAGTAGGAAGAGCTGGTAAGGAGTAGGGGAGCTTGGTAAAAACAGATTCCTAGATGTCTTCTCAGACATGCTGAGTCAGAATTAGGATAGAGCAGGATGTGGAGATTTGCATTTTACCCAGCACCACAAATGTTTCAGTGCCTCTCCCTCTCAAAGATGGCCTCACCACAGGCTCTGAGCTCCCCAGCCAGTGAGCATTAGGAATGTGATGTCACCAGCCAACAGCTGATTGAGAACTTCCCATTGGGCCACCCTACCTGTGGGTCGAGACAAGTCTTTCCCTGGCAGCTCTCCAATTTGAATTGATAAGTAGAATACAGATGAGAGATCTAGCCCTCCTTCCCGCAAGGCCACCCAGCCTTCTGACATAGCTCCTAGGACCACATAAAAGGGAAACAGTGGAGCCGAGGCCTGAGTGACAAAAGGAAACCAGTCATATGAAGGAAGGCCTGAGGACAGTGTGCTGTAGGAAGAAAAATTAAAGAAAGGCTGGAAGTAGGGATGAGCTTAGATGCTGGAGAAATGAAAGGGAGGCCCTCATGGCTGGGACCTCTGCAGAGCTACAGAGGAGGGCAGGGGACAGATACTACTGGACCTCCAGGCTGTGCTCGTCAATTGATCTGCCTTCCAGGCACATAGTAGCATAGTCTGATTATACTTCCTGGCTCTCTTGATTGGGACAAGCTCTGGCCAATGAATTGTGAGTGGACTGACATATGTCCTTTCTGGGATGAGCAACTGATTGCTGGCAGGTGTGCCTCTAGAGGAGTTCCCTGTTCCTCTGCCTCTGTGACCAACAATGTTCCAGAAAGCGCTATTATCCAGAGTTCTTGAGTGAGAATATCCTAGAGTATAGATCCATGATGAACAAACAAGAAATAAATGTTTGTTGACTCAAACTACTGAGCTTTGGGGACTATTTGTTACTGTGATATGACCTAATCTATCCTGGTGCTACACAAACCTCTATCATGGCTAAAGAGAGATGGGCAGAGACATGAACCAAGCAGCTAAATTGAACAGAATAGCAAAAAGATTTATTGGATCCCAAATCTTATTCCCAAATTCTAATCCCAGGGCAGAAATTACAGGAAGAAGTATAAGGAGCATGGACCCTGAATCCAAACCAGAGACCCATCTCAGCCGGCTCCAGAGTCATAGAATAAGCATTGATAACGAAGCACTTCCTTTCCCAGCCTCTGCACCATGGAAATATTGTTGATTTAACAGAATCATATGGGAGCATCAAGCCCAACTATACATGTAGGCAAGGAGATAGCTATCCAGAAAATACCATTATTAATGTCATCTTGTATATCAGCCCCCCTCTTATTCCTCAACCACCTGCTTCAAGTGCCCCAAACTCCAGGTCCTAATAATTTTCCTGTACTTTGGGCCTTAAATGCAGGTGCTGCCACTGTGTCACCTCTCCAATCCACCTCTTTCCTGTAGGACATGGGGTGAGAGGTGACAGTATGAAGGGACACACACTGCTGCTCCCAATTCTCATTCTCTCTCTCTCTCTCTCTCTCTCTCTCTCTCTCTCTCTCTCTCTTCCTTCCGGACCACTGGTAGATCAGGCCCCCCTGACACTCTGGCACTGCAGAAACACAAGCCAGTAGACATTTTCATCTAGGCTCACATGCAGTTACAATTTTTTTTTATTAATTAAAATTTAAAAATCAAGCTGGAGGGCTGGGGATATAGCTCAGTGGTACAGCACCGGCCTGGCAAGCATGAAGTCCTGAGTTTGATTCCCAGTACTAAAAACAAAAAGAAAGAACAAACAAACATTCAAGCTGGAGGTGAAGGCTCATGCTTGTAATCCCAGCACTCTAGAAAGCTGAGGCAGGAGTGTTGAAACTTTTCACCCTAGCCTAGGCTACAGTGACTTAATAAGACTCTGTCTCAAAATAAAAATAAATAAATAAATAAATAAAAGAGGGTTGGAATGTAGCTTAGTGTAAAAGCCCTGGGTTCAATCCCCAATGCTGGAAAAAAAATTAAAATCAAGATATTTCACATTTAGTGGTCTCTACTCACAATTTGGAAGATGGAGCTATACTGAGTCCCAAACCCACAACTGGCACCTGAAGCAGAAGAGCTAGCTGCCCCTTTAAGGTGCCTTGTCCCCAGTGTTGCCCATCCCTCTTTGGCACTGGGTCCCAGGTGCAGATCGCGGGCTTTGGCTGACATTTTTTTAATAGTAGAGTTAAGAGAGAAGCAAAACATTTCTTATAACCCTTTTCTATCAAAAGTGGGAAACAAAAGACAGACCGAGAGAGGGCCTCGTGTCTCAAGAAAAATATAGGAGAGCTCATATCTCTTTGTGGAAGCCAAGACCATTCTTATTTCACCTAGCCTGCAGCACCAATTTATATTATCGACCGGCCCTGTAGGCGTTCGAGTTCGCGACCCTGCCCTCACCCTTCTCATTCTCCGCCTGACCCGGAGTGGCACCCTTTTCTTTTCAGATCACCGCCCGAAGCACAAGAAGCGCGCCTGTCATTTCCTTTCTCCTTCAAGGCAGCCCTCTGTTTATTTTAACTGGATTAGGGAATGGGGGCGGGGAATAGGAGACACCAGTAGCGATCCTTGCTGGAGCTCCGGGAGACGACGTGACTTGCCCAAGGTCACAGAGCCAGAAGCCTGAGCATCTACCCTACCCTAGGACTTTTTGGCACCCAAAGCTCAGGTCTTTCCCTCACGCCCACGTCTCGGGCGTCTTGCGCTCTCCGGGCGCAAACACTGCGCGACTTGTCTGACGCTGCGCCCTAGGTTGTTTTGTTAGGCGAACTGCGCGGTGGGTTAGGAAAACCTTGGGTCAAGCTGTTAGGCTTGTCCCTGGAGTCTATCAGGCTGTGTGTTGGGACTACGGGTGGCCCCGAATCTGGCCAGCCAGTCACTGGGGCCCTGGGCAGCCCTACGCGCGGGCTGGGGCCCCAGAGCTCTCCTGCAGTCCCCTATCCAAGCCGCCCGCAGGCAGTTTACCGCGGCTCGCTGACAGCCTCGGAGTGCGGCCGGGAGGCGAGGACTAGGGAGAGAGGACTGCAGCTGAACCTGTCCGGGGCGCCCCAGCCATTGGCCCACCTCCACAGACTTGTGCCGCGCCGGGGTCGCCGCAGCCCTGGGCCCCTCCCGGGCCACCTGTGCGCAGACTGGCGGACCCCCAAGAGACCAGATCCAGAGAACCAATCCACTCCGGGTTTCAGACTTGGGTCCCGGTCCCTAGAGACCGCGAGGGGCGGTGGGAGACCTCCCCGCCCACCACCCCAGCCCCCTCCCTGGGGGAACCTCAGGCATCGCCTGGAGGGATTCCCGGCGGTGGGGGTGCCCTAGCGCGCCGAACGGGGCGGACCGCCCCCTCCACTCCCCCCCGCCCCGCCCCACCACAACCCCATTCCGGTACTCCAGTCCGGATTTTGCGGCGCCCGCCGGCCCGCTCCCCGGCTGCGGGCTCCGCGCGGCGGCTGGCTTGGTGCGCGGCGCGGCTGGCGCTGCGCTCCGCCCCGGCTGCATTGCTGCGCTCCGGGTGCCCAAGGGAGCCACGCGCCGCGTGCGCCCAGCAGCCGGCCGACGGGAGGCAGCGCAGTCCGCTGGCATGGGCCCCGGGGGCGCCCCGAGGTGGGGCTCTGGGTTGAGGCGCTGAAAGCCTCCCTCCCGCCCGCGGGGCCCCGCGCCCAGCCAGTCCGCCCGCCCGCGGCCATGGCCGTCTGGCCCGGCCTGTGGCCAGCACTCTTGGGCATCGTCCTCGCCGCCTGGTTCCGCGGCTCGGGTGAGTCACGCCGCTCGCGCACTGGGGAGGCTTGCGGGGTACCGTGCGCGCGAACGCCAGCTGCTCTTGTAGGTGGTGGGGGCCCGTGACCTGTGCTGCTGGACCTGCTGGGAGCCCCCAGAGGCCAAACTTTGCGAGGCGGGACGCGGGGGCAGCCTCTCGCTGCTGCGCAGCATCCCGGCGCTCTCTCCCGGAAGCCTGGGTTCTGCCAAGTCCGGGAACAGCTGTCAGCGCACAGGGCTAGCGAGTGTAGACGCCCCACGCCTCCGGGTGGGGGAAGTTTGCTGGTTGCCCGACCCCAGAGCAGGATCTGGGGTTTGGATCAACCCTGAGGAGCCTGACTTTGAGGATGCAAAATTGAAAAGGTTTGACCACATGCCGTTGCCCAGAAAATGGAAGGAGAGGGGTATTGAAGATACCTCTTCCCAGTGGCTTTTGCCCCAGCAGCCACTCACAATTTCCCAGCTTGGCACCTGGCCTCTGCCCACGTCCAGAACACAGTGTCCTCCTCTGTCCCTGTGATACACGCTCACAAACGCACACACTCAGGCGTGGAGGCGCATACAGCAGCCCCCAGCTCTTGCAGACTGCACAGCCAAAGCACCAGAGCCCCTGTAGTTGGAGCTGTGGCTCCCCAGCCTCCCCGACCCTGGGCTGGAGTCGTGCACAGTGGGCTTCACCTTGTCCCTGAAACTCCACAGCCTGTCTTCTACCTGCATGTCTGGCTGGCCACCTAACCTGCTCAGACCATAACTCACCTCCTTTCTCTTGCTGAGGGGACTTGGGAGGAGGAAGTTCCCCCTGCATCCTTTGTCTACTCTCCTGGAGCCTCCACTGAGGCAGTGCTGTGGGGGGTCCTGATCTCTGCCTCCTGCACTCAGCAGAGCTGAGCTTGAGGGGCATCGTTTATCTGATCAAGGGGGCATGGGGCTTGCCTGAATTTTCCATGCCCTCAGAACAGGGTGAGAGGGAGGAGGTTTGCTCACCAGTATGGCCAGGCCACAGTAATCACAAAGGTGTGCTGGAGGAGCTTGGGGTTCCTGAACTGCAAACCCAGACTGATTGGAGATCAATGAGGGAGAGCTCAGAGACCAGCCTGATGACTGAGGCTGGTGGCTGGTTCCTTGAAGAGTCTGCGCACTGCATCCTGTACCCACTACCTGACTGCCCCCATCCTGCCCTCCCAGTTCTCCCTCTACTCCATCTCACTTATCTCCCTTTTCCATCAGCACCCCCAAATCTTCACTTTAATAAACCTTCTTCTCCATAGCCTTCCCTTCTAATCCTGACCAAGCTGGAAGGCTGAGCTGCCATGGGTGTGTGTTCATGCTGCACACACGTGTGTGCAAGGAGTATGTGTGCAGCTCCCCAGATGAACACTCAGGGTGGTGTGTGTTGCACCACTGGCCGTGGTGAGCTGGAGGTGTTGGCCCTTCCACACATGGGGAAGGTGTTGCCAGCTGCCAAGTAGGTGCCTAGGAAATGTTTACTGAGTTGGATATGTGTAAGAGGACTGTATGGTCATAGCTGCATGTCACCACGTGAGCACGTGTAAGGGCTGTGGGCTGGCATGTGTGCCTGGGTGATAGAAGGGTTGGCAGGTGTATGCAGCATTGGCGTGTGTGTGGCCAGATGAGTGTGTGTGTGTGTGTGTGTGTGTGTGTGTGTGTGAAGGCTGGCCTGCTGCACGTGTGTGGCAATTGTATGCTGTTGCCCAGGTGAGCATGTATAGGTACGGATGACAGGTACTGGTAAGTCAGGGTACTGAAGGCAGGAATGAAGGATTGATTGCATGGGAGGCCATGGCAAATGGGATCTACATCACCTGTTGGGGCCTGGCTTGAGGTTGCCCAGGTTTAGCAGGTAGGCATTGGTGTCGCAGAGCTGCGTGGAGCAGAGCCTGTCTCCCGCACCAACTCTCAGGCCTGTGGTAGCAGCTTCTCAGAGGGACAGAGATAGGGAATGGCCCTCCTCTTCACCTGGAGCCCCCTCCTGCTATCCTCCATAGGCTCTGGGCACATGTGGCTGCCCAGGCAGGCTGGCCCTGCGGTGACCCCAGCTCCTCCCACACCCGCCTATCAGCTCAGCGGGTGAAAAATGCGTCTGTGAGTGGCTGAGGGAGGGATAGCCAGCTGGGCAGGCAGCGGGGGACGCCGGGGGGGGGGGGGGCAGTGAGATGGAACTCAGCAGCCTAGCCTCCGCAGGTCATGTACCGTCCTCTGTCACCCGATCTGGCACATTGTCGCCTAGCACAAAGCCTGTCCCTTCTGCACAAATGCACCTGAGCAGGGTCCGTCTGTGCCCGAACACACAGGCACCCACCTGTCTCACCAGATTGTCCCCTTTATACCCTGCCAGCCACACAACTGACACACAGGCCTCTCTACCTCAGGGGGCTTCCTGCCAGATACCCCCACACTCCTGAGGAGGAGAGGCATTGGGAGTGGCTTCCTTGGAAGGTGGGAGCTGAGGGGCACCAAGCTATGGCATTGCCCATCCTGACTGGAATAGTCTGTCCTTGTTCCTCTTGCTCTGGCCCCCGGCCCCTTCCTCAGGGTTGGCTCAGATCCCTCTGCCCACTCCCATTCCCAGGTTGACACAGTTGGTTGGGAAGGAAGTCATCATTTTCCGGGGCTGGAGATACCCTTACATTTACATGGAGCAGAGCCTGTCTCCTGCACCAACTCTCAGGTTCTCACCTTACATTTACATGGGCTAGCCTGGGCTTTGGAATGCCTTTGTGCCCCAGGAGAAGGCAGATCCCCTAACTAATCTGCCTGCTCTCCCTTTACCTATGTGGGAAAGGCTGCCCTCAGGAGCCCAAGACTGCATTGATCTGGACACAAATACCTGGTTCCTAGGAGCCTCACTAGGGCCAGTGGCCCCTCCTGATTTATGTCCTTTTTTCCTGCCTGGGGCTTCGTGAACCCCAAACTTGCAGGCTCAGGCCTAGGCTTGGATAGGGCTCCCCTCTTAGGGGAAGATCCCAATGCTTGGCTTAGCTGCTGTCTGGGAACATGTGTCTGTACACATATAGGTCACTTATTCCAAGCTAGCCCTTTCCTTCTGCCCCCTCCCCACAGGGGACCTACTGTCCCCTACACCTCCTTCTCCCCAGCCTGGGGCTGAAAACCGTTGCATTTCCCTTGGCTTTCCTTTCTCCTTCACGCTTCACATCTAATCTGTCACCAAGTCCTCCAGCTCAGTCCTACTTGTGACATTGCTGTGTCCCTCAAGTCCTGTGCCTTCCCGCCAACCCTGAGCTCCATTTTCCCTTACCTGGCTCACTGATCACTGCGGCGGCCACCCCCACTCAGCCCTCTTCTATGCCTCCTTCTCTCACACTGAGTCCTCACTGGCATACTGCTTTCTGTAGCTCCCTAGTGCTTGCAGGTGAAGTCTGAGTCAGGAGCCTTAAGGGGCCCTTAGGGAAACCCTGGCCTCCCTTGCTATGCATCACCAGCTGATCTGTGGAGAGGCTGGGCACACTCCTGGGCTGGTGTGCTGGACATTGTCAGGAAGGACATTCCAGACTGTGGCTTCCTTGCCTTGCAGAAGCTAGTGTCACCTAACCCTGCCAGCATGCTGTCCACCTGACTGCTCAGCCCCCCAGGCCTATCTAGGCCCTTTACTCATGCCTATCCCCACTTTGTTCTCCAGAGCTCCACTCCTACAACCCTGCTCTGCCCAGAAGGCCTCCAGGTCATCCCCTCCACAGAGGCCCAGGCTTGCTGGCTGATGTGCTTTGCTTGGGTTAAAGGACAGAAGTGTGATTCCTCAGCCTTGGGGTAGCTGCCAAAAGCCTCTGGCCTGTGCCACCTCCTCTTCTTCCAGTGCTTTCCACAAGTAAGGCCATCATCTGTGGCACTGTAACCCTGCTCTCTGCCCCAACATGCTCCAAACCATGGCCAGCCAAGTGCTTAGTGTTTTTCTGTTTCCTTGATTGAAGTTTGGATTATCTGGCCAAACGGAGGGCCACTTGTGGTCAGGGATGAGGAGAAAAATTTGTTTCAGCAGTGATCCTATCCTTGTTCCTGAACAAGACTGTCCTACTCCAGCAAGGCTAGAAATGTTCTTCTTGCTCTGGCTCCCGGCCCCTTCCTCAAGGTTGGCTCAGATCCCTCTGCCCAACCCCACTCCCAGGTTGGCACAGTTGGTTGGGAAGGAGATCATCATTTTCCGGGGTTAGAGACACCCTGTGCTCACCTTACATTTATGTGGGCTAGGCTAGGCTTTGGAATGCCTTGGTGCCCCAGGAGAAGGCAGATCCCCTAACTAATCTGCTATGCAGGGTAGGGATCAGTAAGGCCAGGCTTTCTTATGCAGGGTGATGGTGAACAGGGACACTGTACCCTGGTGCCACATTCATATACAGATGGCAAACCAGCCCACAAGAGGGTATTTGTGAACTACCCACACAAATTGTATACCCCTGACTGCTAAGTAGGGCTCTCCCTGACCACCCTATTCCCACCCTGGCATAGATTTCCTAGAGTAGGTGTTTTCTTGTGCAAATAGTGTCATTCAGAGAGTTAACACCAGGATTTGGGGCCATTCTGTGCTTCACCTATGTGTAGCTGCTGGTTCTTGAGGCTGGACTGTTAGGTTCTTGAGGCTGGACATTATACTTAGCTACCCAGATGGGAGCTCAGTCCTCTGCAATCAGTTCTAGCAATCCCCCCTTCCTTCTTCTTGTCTGCACCCATGGAAGCATCCTTTGGCATCTGGGAAGCTTTGACTTCCTCTTCCTACCGAGTAGACTGCAAGAGGCTGGGACCCTGGGGACAGAAAGGACTGGCTTTCTACCCAAGCCATGTGACCTTGGGTAAGTAACTTTCACTCTGCAGCTTGCTTCTGCATCTGTAGACTGGGCTGTGTCTCCCTCCTGGGGTTACAGTAGTAAACTGATGAGCAACAGAGAAAACACCCCAGTGTCTAGCAGTTGCTCCTGACTTTTTTGTCTCCTTCCTCCATTTTCCTACTCATTTGAGGCCAGTGAG